GGACAACACAATGGATTCATAAGTGTTTACATTTGAAGCGGCCCTCACTTCACACTTATATAGGTGACCTCCCTATCAAGAGTATCCTGTTAATACTCTACCTTTACAAGGTTAGGGATTCATTAAAAGTCTACATGACTTACCCTCACCACAATCAACAGGTCTATTTGCACTTGGAGTGCTCTAGGGAATAGCTCTGGACATTCATATGTTCCAAGTGCTCAACTGAATTTTCATAGCTTAGTTTTCCCTTTGAACCAAGTTCGTGGGATCTCCACTCAGCATGGTAGGGTTACCACTATGATCATTCTTTATATTGTGGATTTTTAAGCCCATTCCCTCTAGCAAAACAACCAATTGATCTCTATTCAATCCTTTCGTCAAAGGATCAGCCAAATTTTTCTTAGACTTCACATAGTCAATGGAAATAACACCATTTGAGATCAATTGACGTACGGTATTATGCCTACGACGAATATGTCTAGACTTACCATTATACAAATTGCTTTGCGCCCTACCTATAGCAGCTTGGCTATCACAGTGAATCATCACATGTGGCAAAGTCTTATCCCAACATGGAATATCGGATAAAAATTTCTAAGCCACTCGGCTTCTTCACCAGCTTTATCTAAAGCGATGAACTCCGATTCCATCGTTGAACAAGCTATACACGTTTGTTTTGTGGATTTCCACGAAACAGCTCCTCCTCCAATACAGAAAACATATCCGCTAGTGGAGTGAGAATCCCTCGATTCTGATATCCAGCTTGCATCACAGTACCCTTCAAGTACGGCTGGATATCTCGAGTATTTTAGCCCGTATTCAAGGGTGTACCTCAAGTACTTAAGTACCCTTCTCAAAGCATTCCAGTGCTCATGACTGGGATTGCTAGTAAATCTGTTCAACTTACTCACCGGATAGGCCAAGTCTGGTCGTGTACAATTCGTCAAGTACATCAGACTCCCTATTATCCGTGAATAGTCCAACTGAGCCACTGGTTGACCTTTATTGGCTACCAGATTTATACTATGATCAAGGGGTGTCTTACACATACGCCTAGACTGTGCACCGTCATAGGCATCAAATTTCTTGAGCACTTTCTCTACATAATGAGATTGTGACAAGACAATTCCATCATGGGTCCTGATAATTCTTATTCCAAGAATAACATCAGCCAAACCCATATCTTTCATGTCGAAATTTCTTTTCAACATCCATTTCGTATCCATGATCACTTCATGGCTACTCCCCATGATCAACATATCGTCTACATATAGACATACAATCACAAATGTATTTGATGTACTCTTGACATAAACACATTTGTCACATTCGTTGATTTTGAAACCATTTGACAACATCACGTCATCAAATTTCAAATGCCAGTGTTTAGGAGCTTGTTTCAGTCCGTACAATGATTTGATCAATCTACACACCTTTCTCTCTTGTCCAGGTGCAACAAACCCTTCAGGTTGTTCCATGTATATTTCTTCTTCCAATTCACCATTCAAAAATGCCGTCTTGACATCCATTTGGTGAATCTCAAGATTGTGCAAAGCAGCAATCGAGAGAAGCACTCTTATCGACGCTAAACGCGTAACTGGTGAATAGGTATCAAAGAAATCATACCCTTCTTTTTGTTTAAAGCCTTTGACCACCAATCGTGCTTTAAACTTATCAATCGATCCATCAGCTTTATATTTCTTCTTTAGGATCCACTTGCATCCTAAAGGTTTACAACCATCAGGGAGATCAACCAACTCCCAAGTATGGTTCTGCATAATGGACTCGATTTCGCTATTTACAGCTTCTTCCCAGAGTGGTCCATCTGGGCTGGACAGAGCTGCCTTAATGGAACTCGGTTCATTGTCCAACATGTACGTAATAAAATCATGTCCAAACGTTTTCACCGTTTTTACCCTTTTACTACGTCTCGGTTCTGCATCAGTACCCTCTGGTACAGAACCACTAGCAGTTTCATACGTTCTTTTATGAGAACTGGATTCTGCTCTTTCCTTCATAGGAAAAACATTCTCAAAGAATATAGCATTCCTTGACTCAATCGTGGTACCCATAGATACCTCTGGATTTTCTGATTTATGAACCAGAAATCTATATGCCATACTGTTGTACGCATATCCAATAAATACACAATCGACCGTCTTTGGCCCGATTCGCATTTGTTTTGGTTCAGGTACTGAAACCTTAGCCAAACACCCCCACACTTTCAGGTATTTATAAGACGGCTTACGATTTTTCCACAATTCGTAAGGAGTCTTATCTTTCCCTTTAGGTGGTATTTTATTCAGGATATGATTTGCTGTCAAAACAGCTTCCCCCCACATATTCTGGGTTAATCCTGAATTTATCAACATGGCATTCATCATTTCTTTTAAAGTACGGTTCTTGCGTTCAGCAACACCGTTCGACTGTGGAGAATAAGGGGCCGTCGTTTGATGAATTATGCCATATTCAGAACATATTTGTTCAAAAGGAGCTACATACTCCCCACCCCTATCACTTCGGATTATTTTAATCCTCTTGCCGAGTTGATTTTCAACTTCGGTCTTATAGATTTTAAATGCTTCCACAGCCTCGTCTTTGCTTCTTAACAAATATAAGTAGCAAAACCTTGTGCAATCATCGATAAAAGTTACAAAATACTTTTTACCGGTTCTTGTTTGCACACTTTTCATATCACATACATCAGTATGGATTAAGCCTAATGGTTCAGTACTCCTTTCCACCGAGTGAAAAGGCAACTTAGCCATTTTTGCTTCAATACAAATTTCACATTTCTTATGTGATTCAATTTTAGAATTAGGAATTAATTCTAAATTCATCAACCGTTTAATTGCATTTCGATTTACATGTCCCAATCTAATATGCCATAAATCAGAGCACTCAACGGTATAAACAGAAATAGGCTTTTCATTATCATTTAAAACGGTTACACGGCTCACGGCCATTACATTCATTTTAAACATACCCTTGTCGAGATAGCCACGACCAAGGAAAGTTCCAAACTTACTAAGAACAAATTTCTTAGCATCAAATACTAGCCTAAATCCATGCTCAACAAGAAGAGATCCGGAGACCAAATTCTTGCGGATGTCTGGGACATGCAGAACATCCTTAAGCTTCAACTCCTTTCCAGAAGTCAGCTTCAGCACCACAGTGCCCACTCCAGCCACATCAGCCGTGGCGGAGTTTGCCATGTGAAGTTTCCGATCCTTAGCAGGAGTGTATTCAGAAAATACCTCCTTATCGGAACACACATGACGAGTGGCACCAGTATCGATGAACCACTCCCTTGGGTTATCCACCAAATTGGCTTCAAACACCACAGTCGACATATCAAAGTCGGTTAATTCACCTGGCACAGGGCCGTGTTCAGCCACAAGGGCACTCGGTTTACCTTTCTTTGGCACAACCTTCTTTGGCCTCTTGCAGTCTTTCGCCATATGGTTCGTCTTTCCACAGTTGTAGCAAGTACCTGTAAATTTCCAAACCTTACCTGGCTGCTTCCCTTTGTCCAGGGACTTCCTTTTGCTCGAGTTGCCTTGTTCCAGCAAATTTGTACGAGCCTCCATCATCTGAGCTTTTCCAGATGAATTCCGGTTGTCCTCCTCAATACGAAGACGAACAACAAGGTCTTCAAGGCTCATCTCCTTCCTCTTATGCTTGAGGTAGTTCTTGAAGTCTTTCCAACCCGGTGGCAGTTTCTCAATCACAGCCGCAACTTGGAATGACTCGCTCAGAGACATTCCCTCAGCATGGATATCGTGCAAGATAAGTTGAAACTCTTGCACTTGGGACACGACGGTCTTTGAGTCGACCATCTTGAAGTCAAGAAATTTACCGACGACGAATTTCTTCGCCCCGGCATCCTCGGTCTTGTACTTCTTCTCCAAAGCAGCCCAAAGCTCTTTGGCAGAACCAACCGAGCTGTACACATTGTACAACTCATCACTAAGTCCGTTTAGGACATAGTTACAACAAAGGTAATCACCTTGCATCCAAGCATCATACGCATTGCGTAGTTCAGCATTGGTTTCATTTTCATCTATTACTGGAGGATCGTCCTTCAGGTACTTTTCCAAACCCAAGGTGGTTTGGTAAAAGCGCATCTTCTGTTGCCATCTCTTGAAATCAAGCCCGTTGAATTTTTCGGACTTCTCAGCAGTGGGGACATGGACAGCTCGTACCGGATTATTAACAACTGGGTTGACCGGATGCTGATGTTGAGAACCTTCACCGGTGGATGCCATCAGTTCAGTAGGATGACGGAAATTCTTCTTGCGATTGTTAGAAAAATAATAAAAAAAATACACGGGAATCCTACGAACTGATATGTAATTTTTCAGTTCTTACAAATAATCTAAAATAGAAAATTACAATCGAACTGAAAAAATAAATACAACTGATAAAATTAAATTACAACCGAAAAAAAAAATTACAGAAAGAATTTAGCCGAGGCGAGTAAAACTCTTTCCGCAAGAAGAATACGCCCCGTGTGGCTGCTAACGGTTAAGGCGTAACTTCCCCAAAGATACAACGGCAAACGTCTCTAAATCTATAGCACACCAGATTTACGAGCTCCGGCGAACAAGAATGGAATCAAGAATTGAGCACTAAAATTATAAATATTAATTTTTATTTTCTCTATTTTTCTTTCACTTTATTTCTTCTTCCGTGTTGTGATTTCTGTATTCTTCCCTTCATCCTTTTTGCTGAGTCCCCATATTTATAAATGGAGCAATTAGCTTAATCCTTCCTTCATACGCTTTTACGCAATAAATTGAATAGTTGAGAAGTAAGCATTAAATTTGCTAGTTGGCATCCCACGTCATGGAGCAATTGGATGAGTAGAGAAGAATTGTTTGATAAGCCATATGCCTCATTAATGATCCTGACACATTGCATTCCTGACTCATCCTCAGCCATTAATAATTCTGACACATCCTCATTTACACTCACATTATTATAATAATTAAATATTATAACATATATATGCTCAGATCCTCAAGCACCGGGCAGCCAGATATCAGGCGGGCCAAGGATTCAGCCCCCCAATAATGAAGCCTCTTAAGGGCCGACAGACACACATCGCCGGCCGCCGGGATCACAACACCACTGATATTCAATTCCACTAGGGTTTCACACATTAATAAGCAATTGGGAATCATAACCCATTTGCCCCAAGGAAGGGAGACACTGATACAAATATTTCGGACATTGCGGGAAATGAGAGCGGCAATCCAGCCCTGGATTTCAAAATCGTCGGAGCTAGACTTAATTGTTAGTAGGAAAGTGTGCACCGTTTGCCCTTTGAGCGCCGACACGACGTCGGTGACGATGACCGCCAAGCGGCAGTCGAGGCAACCGTCGTAGTTCTCGTCGTCCTGTCCGAAACTTAAAAGGGGGACATGGGCCCACAGGGACCGCCATGTTCTTGAGAGGACGCTGGTGCACACAGAGAGGCGGGTCGGGAGGAAAGAGAGGATGTGTAGCAGAACGTCGTCCGGCAAGGCGCCGAGTCTGTCGAGCGGCGGTTGCTTATTTTCCGGCATGGGTAGAATCGAACAACAACCGGAGTGAATCAAACTCTAGAGAGGGTTAGGGGATCTTCATTTAAATGACCTAGTCAAAGGTCTTTTTTGTGTAAGTTCATTTATTACAAAATACAATATAAGATAAATATTACTGTATTACTAATTTTTAATTAAAATTATGTCAAAGTAAGGACATTTAGACAGTTCACATTTTTACCAAATCACTTGTCATTTTAAAATAGTATAAATAATATAATAGAATATAATATAATAAAAAATAAATAAAGAAATATAAAGAAATAATAATAATAATATAATAATAAATAGTACAGATATAGATATAGATAATAATAAATCAATTAAAAATTAACATTTATTAAAAGAATAATTAAATAATTCACAAGTTTTTGTTAAGGGAGAATCACCTCTATATAAAACACCATTACAAAGTATAATAATTGATAATTATTATTTTACAAATACAATATTCACATTTTAATATTATTTATCGTGAAAATTATGTTATTTATATTAAATATTTAAAATTATTTTTATTATTTATACTTGCATCTAGCTAGATTATTTGAGTCGAGTACTTCATTTGAACTCCCGTTGATTTGATAAACAAACTGGCGTGATTCAAGTCGTTTGATAAACAAAAAAAATTTACCCTCGAAATCGGCTTGTATAAACTCGATTCGACTCATTTAATAAATCTTAAAGAGTACTTCTACTTGAGTTCACGCCGATTCAACTTATTTGATAGACAAGCTTGTTTAAATATACAAACAAGTCAAACTTGAACTTTTACACAGTTGAATCGAACACTATCGGACTGTTCGGTTCGATAACAACTTTACATTTTAAAGTTTCGGGTAAAAAAAATTCTGGCTACACTTTGTGTAATCAAACAGTAAAAGACTTATTACTACAAAATATTTATCAAAATAACAAAATACTTATCACCCAAATTATATGCATATTTTGTGACAAAAAACATTCTCGTTCCATTCGAGTAGCAAGTTCTGATAAGACACCCACATCAAGACATCGACTTTTCTTCTGTTAGGTTGCCTAATAGTCATTCTATTAGACTGGCATTTGTTGACCTTCTACTAAGTTGCCTATTAAGATCATCTTTAATAATAATACACCACAAATGTCATTTCTCTATTTCCATGTACCATATCAGTCAAAACTTCATCCTTACTCCTACAACCACAAACCTCTCATAACCATAAACTTCGTAAATATCTTATTTCATGGGTCTTAAACTTCATAAATATCTTATTTCATGAGTCTTACATGTCTCCCAATTTGAGTAAGCACATGAATGCGGTATTTGCAACTTTTGTTCATAGAGTGGAGAGCACTTGCTCCACAATTTTCCTTTCCACAATTGTGTTGAAAACTCCACCCTCCAACTTTGCAACTTTAACTGAAAGGCTAGGAGGTTTAAATTCTTAAACCCCTCCAAACGTTGCCATTAAAGTTGTTCTAATAATAAACGAGTCATACTTTTTCAAGCACATAATTTCATATTCAAATATCATACTTTAAATATATAATCAAAACAAGAGTGACATTATATATAAACAAGAGTGACATTTTATATTACAAACATGTAACTTTTTTAAGACATTTAGTAAGGGTATATTGTTGTCTAATGGTTGGTCAGGCTATTTAAAAAATAACCATGATCCTTTCACCCCTAGTGCACAACTTCAAAAATAAAGTTCTCTATATGCACGTTGGTTTAGTTTCACTTATTTGCCATGATCCTTTAACTTGAGTTTTAGTGTTGGCATGTAGTTAATCAGTTGGCACTTGGCACAATAATTTTTTATTTTTTTTAAAAAAATATTTGAAAGTCTAGTATGAAGTTTCACCTTAACTCCAATTATTGGTTAAGGTGTATGCGACATGGTGAGTTATCTCTTGAGGAATGTCGAAGTTCTTTCATGAGTCTTTCGGAGCTGAAAATAGATTGGGACGAGCAAAATTTATCGTCCAAATGAAGATCTGTGATGTGTGTGCTTGTTTTCTTCGTCGATTGAGATTATTTCTAGTCTTGGCTCTATCTTCTTAGCATTTGAATCTCATCTTAATTGGTTTATGAAAAATCTTCATGTGCTCCATTGTGCAAAAACAGGTTTACTTTGGACCAAACTTCTGGTACAACATGGGACTAGCCAATTTATGAACATGTGGAAGCCAAGCTTACATCAATCTGCAGATTTACGAATATCATGTTTTAAGGTTCTTGCAGCATTTGAGGAGACAAATAAAATTTGCAACTAAAAAATGAAAAGAGCTGTTGCTTGTTCATTTGTCCGATAAATTTTAAGAAAATCTGTTCTTGCAATCCAGAATGAGAACTGAAAAGCACAGTTTTTAATTACTTCTTCGAATGCCTTGAACAGAAAGCTTTGATTCTCTCGAGTCCTTCTTGGAGATTCGTCAGCTCCACCGCGAAACTCAGGCGCAACCAATTTTTTAGTCCCACGACAGATCCTGTTTCAAAATTTGCATAATCATTTTAAATTTTGATTTCATTTTTAATTTCTCCACTCAATGGCTAAAAACAATAAAAAAAATGACCCTTGGGTTCATTGACACATATTATATAGTTATCCTCCGAAATTTCTAATTTTATGACAGAATTAAACCTCAACAGGCCTTTTTATTTATTTTTTTGGTATCTAAACTAAATCTTTGAATAAATCTGTAAACTTTACAAAATATTTCAACTTCTATAGCATTTAGTGTAACCTGGCAGAACAAGAACTGATTCCTCACTAGCAAGCTTCAAAGCGAAATCCATGTCATCTTCCACATCTTCCAACAATGAGAGATTTATCTTAACCTGCATAATTAAAGAGCAATCGTGAACTTAAAAAGGACTTCAAATCAAACTCATACAACATAAAAAGAATGTTTTAGAGTTCGACTGAAGGGGGCCCACCATTGTAGACATAGCTCCTTCAGGTTTGTGCAGACATTTCAGTGCAGGAATCTCACTAAGTTTGTCATAACAAACATCCACAACTTCTCGTAGCGTACGATTGGTTTTTAAGAAGAAATCATTTGTCGTGTTCTCCAGGATTTCAGGAAGAGCACCCTGTAAATGTACTTTGTGTTTTACTTTGATGCAAAAATTTAATTATTTGTAATAGTATTTTTACGGGTTGTCAAAGAAGTGTTACCAGTTACTAAATGCTGATACAAAAGTCTATCTCCTATTTGTTCATAATTCATCAGAAATTGGGAAAATGCATGGGGCTCCCCACGTGATTAAATTCCGCAAAAATAAGACGAAATTGAGATCTTTATATAGTAGTAGGACTATTATGTGAAAGCATGCCTTGTGAAGGGCCAAACTTGACATGTTTATATATATATATATATACAACAACAACAACATACCCAGTATATTCCCAACAGGTTGGGGTCTGGGGGGTCAGTTGTACGCAGACCTTACCCTTGTAATTATACAACGAGGCTGTTTCCGTAGCGACCCAAGGTGCATTGCGCCGTTTGATTTTTTTTTTTTTTTATTGAAGGCAGTGGTTTTGTGCATGTCCAAAACTAATCAGACAGTAATTCTAAGAATTAACCAAAACTTTGAACTTTTTCTAACTCTAGCCAAGACTACATACAAAGTCTAACTAAACCAATTAAATTATAAAAAACCTTTGAATTATATATATATATATATATATATATATAGAGAGAGAGAGAGAGAGAGAGTAATGCTATAGGTACATAATAATGTACATAAAGGTGTACATAACACTCACATTGAGTGCGTCCTATAAAAAATAATAAATTAAGTGGACCCCACTCCATATGAGTGTTATGTACACCTCTATGTACATTTATTATGTACTTGTAGCATTTTTCATATATATATATATATATATGTACCTGTATAGGAGTTGCAGGATCAGCAGCAACATTAAGATAGCTGTGAATGCATTCCACAAGCTGAATAGATAACCAAAAAACACACTTTAGTAAGCCTTGTGGACTTATAATGTCAACAAAAAATCAATTTTGTCAGAACAAGTGTGTATTATTATTTATTACCCCCGATTTTTTGAGACCTCCATTTGGATCGGTAACAGCAATCCAGCCAAGTCTCAAACCAGGCACAAGCCATCTCTTAGAAATCGATCCCAGAGTAAGAACAGGAGCAATAGATCCCATGGGTACAAATTGGTTACATCCATAAACGAGATGATTATAAATTTCATCCGCAATAAGAACAACACCTATCCTTTCCGCAGTCTCTGCTATCTTTTAAAAACAAAAAAACAAAAAATGCTCGATTGTAAAAACAAGCAGGCCCTTCAAATCAATATGGTAAGGTAAAATTGACAAAAATGCAATTTTTTGCCAATGTACCTTCTGCATATGCTCAATTGTGAAAACATTCCCACATGGGTTTCCAGGGTTGATGATGACCATGGCAATGGTGTTATCATCGGCCAATTTTTCCACGCCTTTGAGATCGACCTCCCAGCCTTTATCGGGAAGAAGGTCAAAATGTCGAACCTCGAGATTGCTAAATCCAGCATTAGCTTCGTAAAATGGGTATCCCGGTTTTGGAAGTAATATGTTGGCCCCTGGCCTAGCTAGGACAGTGAGTAAGACCTCAATTGCATGATTTGCGCCTGCAGTTAGAAATATGTCGTCTTCTGAAAGGTTATACGGAAGATCCTTGCTTAGGTGCTCTGCAACAGCCCTGTTCAATATACAATTATATAATGAGAATGAAAATAGAATGAAGAAGGATGTCACCTATCAATCAATGATCAATCTTTTATTTGCTTGTGAAAAAANTCTAACACAAAGCTGCAAGCAAAGTCCACATCTGACAGGCATTTTACCAGAGACCACCCCTTTTTTCTTGATTGTCCATGGTGAGAAGGGCCAAGTTCATAAATTTGTGCAGCCATTGAATGAGGCATGGAACGAATTCAAATGTTTCATGGCAATTCGGAAAATACCCAAACATCAGCATTCAAAGCCATCCGGAAAACAGTTGCTGAACAATAAACAAGGAGCCATAACAGCAGAAAAATCACACCTTTACAAATCAATATAAAATAAAAATCACACCTTTACAATGCAAAAGGGCTCGAATGCAAGAAGACAAACATCTCGGCAGCCAGCCATGCACAAGATTTAAGAAAAAGAAAACACGCGCATCCATAGAACAAATAAACAAATAAATTTACCACAACGGCTAAAAATTAACTCTGACCAACCTTCTTGCTACGGGAATACCTGCCGACGGGGCGTAGCCGTTGAAGAGAGCGGACTTAACGGCGGTGCAAAGGGCATTTTCGACAACAGGGGTTGTTCGGAAGCTCGGGTAGGGAGATGGGTCGCCGTGGCCGAGATGGATTACCAGCCTTTGCTCATTTTTTAGATTTCTCTTTAAAATCTCAAGAACGTCTCTAATGGTGGGGCTGGGCTCCTTCTGGTTCTTGAAACCCCAATTGGCCAGTTTGTTTTCCATCTCTCTGTGTGAGTGTGTGCGCGGACTGCGCGAGATGGTGGGCAGATGTAGAGACGTACAGACTACAGTCTTGTGAATTTTTACCTATGAGATTCTACTGATTAAAAAGGTTCTCTTTTCTGTACCCAAAAAAAAGGTTTCTCTTTTATTTGTTATTTTTTGCTTGTTTTGGTTTATTTTATTTAAATTTATTTTTTATCAAGTGTTGATTATAAAAATTAGTAAAATATATTCACCTACCAATCATAATAAAATTGCAGGTGACGTATTAAATTAAAATGTCCACTCTTTGGATATGTAAATGATACTATGTGACGTATTAAACTAAAATGACATTCAATTACTTAAATAAGTTGAATTTAAATAATCAATTAAATGTATTTATTGAATAAGTCGAATTAAGCTTATTCATGAATAACTAATACGAATCTCGTGCAATGCACGGGTAAGAGAAATTCGCTAATATTTATAAATTAAAATTTTTCACTAAATAATATTTATAAATTAAAAATATAGAATTGATATGTAATAAAATTTACCTATATTAATTTATTAAAAATGTTATATGAAATTTAAATTTTACAAAATCACATAAAACATGTCTATTTAAAATTAGTACACAACTCCTACTCGTACGATGCACGTAACTGATAATAAATTACATTATGTTAATTTCAATCGTTTGCATTGAGGAATAAAGGAATAAACTACAACTTGTGAATGCTCATCTCCTCCCCTTTGTTCTAACTTCCATGAATGATTTATATTACTTTTGCAAGATTTATTGCACATCTGAACTATTTTATATTTTTCACTAGAACTAATTATTTCTTACATATTAAAGAAGCAAAAAGAATGGACATTTGTAGCTTCAAAGTCTGGTGGCAGAACATATGTTCAGTGGACAAGAAGGACATTTCAGAAGCTCGTATTCAATTAACAATATACATTCTGTGGTGGCTTTGAAAGGCGTGCAACCTATGGATATTTAAAAAAGAATGGATGCCAGAAAATCAGATAGTGAAAGCTGCAGCTAGAGATTGGCAGGAGTTCAATTGCCGAAGGAGCAGATGACATGGAGAGCAACAGGTGAGGGTGGCTAGGTCCGGCTGCGGTTTCAGTGGTCACTCACGTGTTGTATCAGAATGTCCTCTTTCTTCCTTGTGCATTTGAATTTTGATCCATCTTGTTCAGTTTGTGGTTATTATTGTGTTTATGGTTTTGGAACTAAGATTAGCTGTAGTTTGTGGTATTCTGTTTTTTTGGTGATATTTGTGTGATTGTGGTTGACTGGGAGTGGCCAAGGTTGCAGGTGGTTAGGCTGTCTTAGCTTCTCTATAGTCATGCATTTGTGGTTTGTATTGGTGTATTTGGTCTAGGCCACCATGATGTGTGGTTTTCAGTTCCTTAAGACATTGGACTATTCAGCCCCAGATGAATATTTGTAGACAAATTTAAAATATAAATGTAATTGTTAAAGGTGCGTACAAAGTATAGTAATGATATTCGTGAAGATAAATAAAAAAAAAATATGAGTGATCATGATAACGTTTTCTACTTTTAGAACTCAGAAATAAGATGCAGCAACACAAAATTTAGTTGTGTACTCAGAATTCCGTTGATCATTATGCACAATATGATATTAAAAAAAAAAATCACTAAATTCCAAAATAAACATCATTCAAAGGGGAAAGAAAACAGAGATAAGGAGACCAAATTTTCCTTAAACAAAAAACACTAATAAATTTGTCACATTTCTTCCTTCTATCAACCTAACTAGAATAAACAGCTAATCCTAATAAGATGAACACTCAACACTAACTAGAAAAACTTAATTAATAAAAAACAGAACAAATTTAATTTACTTGGAAATCCTATAGAACCTAGCTATCCAATCATGGCTGCCTCCGAAGGCAATTGAGCTTGCCGAGCAACTCGCGCACCAACCATCCCGACATTATCCCGTAACCCTCTTGCGTCAAGTGAATCCCGTCCCAACTCACGAACCAATTCGCATTCCTACAAACCGCAACTCCCTGGGCCCCACACATGCTCGTCATGTTGAAATTGTACTTACCTCCCGTCCCACAACACGCTCTTTCCGAATCGAGACCTTCACAAAAAAAAAAAAAAAAATCGAATTTCAAAACATCAAATTACTTAATTTGTCGATTTAATTAGCTATATATAATTTGTGTGTGTGTTTCTGCGCGTCGTACCATGATGTCTGGCGAAATGTAGGAGGAACTCGTAAGCATTGTAATAATCAGCGTACACGATTAGTGCATTCGGCTTCTCTTCTTGAATCATCCGGTTAATCCCGTTCTGCAGCTCCCGATTGTGGTACACTGCAAACTCGTTTAGTTGCTTTAGGCATTGGTTATTATCGTAATCCGACGAATTGTTCGTTTGGAAGGCCGTCTTGTAAATCGGGAGGCAGCCAATCGGGAAGTTCCCCGGCACAACAACTCTCTTTGCCCCCAAATCAATTGTTCTCTACAAAAATTGGTAAAGAAAAATCAAAAAACAGAACCAACATTAAATAAACTATTTCCTTTTTCCCTTAAAACAAAAATAAATGTCCAAAATCTTGTTTTTTATTGATTAGAACTTACCCGAACACCATCGAGAATCGCTTCGACCACTTGAGGAACCATTCGCCTCATCTCGTCCATCGACTTCCCCTGAAATATCGCGTAATTGTAGTCGTTTCCACCAATTTCGCCGACCATGAAGAGCGCGTGCTCCACACAATCTGAAACATTTGCTACTCAAAATCAAATCTTTCTGTACTTTATTTAAGGGCAAAAATTACCCCTGATATCGCGACCTTTTTCAAAATTTGCAATTTAATCACCACATTTTTTAATTTTTACAAATTATATCACAATCTGATTAAATTGCAATTTGGAAAAAAGGTCATGATATTAAACAAGTAACTTGATGTTAAAAAAACGAATATCTAACAATACCTTCACGATTGCTGCAAGTCGAGTTAAGATGTGTCGACAACCAGTCCAGCTGGACGTCGAGAGAGCTTCTTGTCACGGGAGACAATACACGCATGGCAGCCAGCTTGTCGGATGACATAGCAGTGGACCCCGCAACCGCGAAATTGACACCGTGGCTGAATTCGCCGTTCGGGTCCTTGTAGGCGTGAAGAAGAGGAAGCCCTGAAGCTCGTGCTGTTAATTTCGTCGATTAATCAAAAAAAAAAAAAAAAGAAATCCATTAGTTAGTATACATCAAGAAAATTAAACTTATAAACTCAAAAAGTTTGAAGAAAGGAAAAAGTTACCTATGAAATCAATCATGAGAAGGCCATTCGAGCATCGGCCGGTGGCTGTCCGGTAGAAGTCTTGGCCGTAAGGTAAGCGCGCGAAGGGAGTCGAGGCACCAATCGGCACCTCCCGAATCAAATTTCCGGTATCGGAAATTGAATCGCCTAATTGGAATATTTTGTCAAACCCGCAAATTCGAAGAGGATTAGCCTTGACCATTAGAGGAGAGCAAAAACAGGACAAAATAAGCAACAAAGAAACTATTTTTGCAGGAGCCATACTTGGGTAAATAAATAATTAGCACGAGATTATAATTAGAACTTTTTTTTTTTTTGGTGTATGCATGAACATGAAAGGTTGTAGGTGTATTTATAGTAGTTGATGATCAGATAGTTTGATTAGGATTTGTAATTCTAATCAGACATAGAATAGGAAGGATATAGTTGTATTTATATTTTTAATTTTTATAATAGTTGATGGTTAGTATTTTGTAATTTTAATCAGACATGGATTAGGATGGATATTATTTGACTTTGTACACGTCTTACAATTATAGTCCTAAGTGATGACTAATATATAGTTGTATTCAAATATTGTTACTGCTCAACCAAATCACCAACTCGGTGCTAATTAAAAAAAATTCTTATTTATTTTTAATTTTATATTTGAAATACTTCTAAAACTTGCATTGTTATGTTATTTAGTTTATATTTATTAAAATAAATATATTATTGTATCTATAGGAATATGGAATAGAAAATTATTGAAAATACAATTTATCATATAAGATATCTCAACGTTGTATGACTAACAAACTAACGCGTCTATTAACCCTCTCAACTAAAGAATTAATTATTCTGTTTATATAATAATTGATTAGTTCATCACGTAAAAACGATAACGATTTCTAAAATAATAATAGGACAGAAATGTTAGTTTCGCTTTTCAATTTTTACTAAAAATGTTAAATATATATTTAAATAGTAACATTTTTTTTTTGGGGGGGGCATTCCAACAAATATGTTCACCTACCTACAGTTGGTACATTAAAATCGACTTTATATCAAAATTTCATGATCTTTCAACTACACATAAAATTTCAATTTTGGTCCTCTAAGTTCACCATTGTCCAATTTTGGTACACCAATTTTCGTCTCATAAAAAATAGTTCACTATGTTATAATTTTCATCAATTTTAGTACAGTAATCCCGATGGACCGGATTACATGATGACGTGGAAAATTGTAATCATTCCATGTCAAAGTCCTATCCATCCACGTCATTTCAATCCTTGTCCACATTATCACGTAATCCGGCCCCTCGGGATAACTGTACTCAAATTGATGAAATTGTAACATAGTGGACTATTTTTTATGAGGGGAAAGTTGGTGTACCAAATCTGGACAATAGCCAATATAGAGGATCAAAATTAAATTTTTGCCCTACATATTAATTTCCTACACATCAGTTATCCAACATATTAAAATAACTAGTAATCAACCCGTGCATTTGCACGGAGAAGAATACTTAGAAACGATAACATATAAAAGAAAAAAACAAAAATACATAATTATAATTTAATTCATGAAAAAAAAATATGAATTAAGAAAATGATTTTAAATATTATTAAACACTTCTTTGTATACAACATTCATGATTTTCCTATCGTCTGAATCACCATCACCACATATCACTATCTTCAAACTATTTCGATTCGTGACTCTAGAAAGAGCCACATACAACTGTCCATGAGATTCGTGACTCTAGAAAGAGCTCTTGTTGATTGTCAAAACATAAGAGACCATGATAGGAAACTGTCGGCGCTGA